TGAGATCACGACATCTGGGTTTTTGCCCGTCAGCTTTGCAAACCTATACAGCGCAAAGGCCTCGTCAAGAGCAGTGGCTATCCTACCTGGTTTCAGAAGAAGAGAAAATCAACGGCGTTCTCGGCAAAATCTGCAACCGCTGAGGTGAATGACCACATTCGTTGAGTCGAAGAAAGGCCTCAGAGGTTGAGATCTGTCTGTGGTGATTCACAGGTGCTTCTCAGCAGGAAGGTTCTTCGCTCAAAGAGGTTTCTTGTGTTCAATCTGACCCCGTGTCAGAATCTACATCAATAGCAACAAGTTTCTAGTTTTTGAAATAGGTCTCCAAACAATGTCTCAGGGTGTAGCAAGAAGCGGTCGCACAAGTCAGCAAGTTCTCTGACATCTTTACATTGCATCATCTGCCACGGATTGCCACGGGAAACAGAAGTGAATTTGCCAACCGATCAGTGCCACTTCCGATTTTGGCCCCAACTGCATATGGGTTTTTCCACCAGCCTGACTCAAGATCTGGCCCTCCTGATGGCTCGGCCGGTCCTTCATGTCATTGGCCCATGGTTGTCCATCATGAAGCGAGTGGAAAATCGGCTGCTCACATGACTCAATATGCATCACCGCATCACAGTAATACTGCTTTGTAATAAAAAAACAAGATGAAGCCCACGAACCCGAATGCTCACACGTATGTTAATGGTACAGATGTCAAAACACATGGTTATGCAGTCACGCACAATACCTTTCTGCAATAGTTTATTTGAACTGTCTTGTACATGTTTCCCTTGTTACCAGTCTGCAGTGTGGAGTGGAAAGTGTAGAGTGTGGAGTGTGGAGTGTGAAGTAAGGAGTGTGGAGTGTGGAGTGGGGAGTGTAGAGTGTGTAAAGTGTAGAATGCGGAGTGTAAAGTGTAGAGTGTGGAGTATGGAGTGTAAAGTGTAGAGTGTGGAGTGTAGAGTGTGGAGTGTGGAGTGTAGAGTGTGGAGTGTGGAGTGAGGAGTGTAAAGTGCAAAGTGTGGAGTGTGGAGTGTAAAGTGAGGAGTGTAAAATGAGGAGTGTAAAGTGTGGAGTGAGGAGTGTGGAGTGTAAAGTGTGGAGTGTGGAGTGTAAAGTGTGGAGTGAGGAGTGTGGAGTTTGTAAATTGTAGAGTGTGAAGTGTAAAGTGTAAAGTGTAGAGTGTAAAGTGTAGAGTGTGGAGTGTAGAGTGTAGCGTGTCGAGTGTGGAGTGGAAAGTGTAGAGTGTGGTGTCTAGAGTGTGGAGTGTGGAGTGTAAAATGTAAAGTGTGGAGTGTACAGTAAAGTGTGGAGTGTGGAGTGCGGAGTGTGGAGTGGAAATTGTAGAGTGTGGAGTGTGGAGTGTAAAGTGGGGAGTGTGGAGTGTAGAGTGTGGAGTGAGGAGTGTAAAGTGTAAAGTGTGAAGTGTGGAGTGTAAAATGTAAAGTGTGGATTGTAGAGTGTAAAGTGTAGAGTGTGGAGTGAGGGGTGTAAAGTGTGGAGTGTGGAGTGAGGAGTGTAAAGTGTGGAGTGTGGTGTGTAGAGTGTGGAGTGTGGAGTGTAAAATGTAAAGTGTGGAGTGTAGAGTGTAAAGTAAAGTGTAGAGTGTGGAGTGTGGAGTGAGGAGTGTAAAGTGTGGAGTGTGGAAGTGAGGAGTGTAAAGTGTGGAGTGTGGAGTGTAAAGTGTGGAGTGTGGAGTGAGGAGTGTAAAGTGTGGAAAGTGTGGAGGTGTGGAAAGTGTAAGTGTGGAGTGTGGAGTGGGGAAGCGTAAAGTGTAGAGTGGGGAGTCTGGAGGGAAAGGGTAGGGTTGGTGTGTAGAGTGTGGAGTGTGGAGTGTAAAGTGAGGAGTGTAAAGTGTGGAGTGAGGAGTGTAAAGTATAAAGTGTGGAGTGTGGAGTTTAAAGTAAAGTGTGGAGTGTGGGGTGCGGAGTGTGGAGTGGAAAGTGTAGAGTGTGGAGTGTAGAGTGTAAAGTTGGGAGTGTGGAGTGTAGAGTGTGGAGTGAGGAGTGTAAAGTGTGTGTGGAGTGTGGAGTGTAAAGTGTAGAGTGTGGAGTGTGAAATGTGGAGTGGAAAGTGTAGAGTGTGGTGTGTAGAGTGTGGAGTGTGGAGTGTAAAATGTAAAGTGTGGAGTGTAGAGTGTAAAGTGTAGAGTGTGGAGTGGGGAGTGTAAAGTGTGGAGTGTGGAAGTGAGGAGTGTAAAGTGTGGAGTGTGGAGTGTAAAGTGTGGAGTGTGGAGTGAGGAGTGTAAAGTGTGGAGTGTGGAGTGTAAAGTGTGGAGTGTGGAGTGGAAAGTGTGGAGTGTGAAGTGTGGAGTGTGGAGTGTAAAGTGCGGAGTGTGGAGTGGAAAGTGTGGAGTGTGAGTTTGAAGTGTGGAGTGTAAAGTAAGGAGTGTGCAGTGTAAAGTGTGGAGTGTGGAGTGTAAAGTGTAGAGTGAGGAGTGTGGAGTGTAAAGTGTAGAGTGAGGAGTGAGGAGTGGAAAGTGTAGAGTGTAGTGTAAAGTGTGGAGTGTGGAGTGAGGAGTGTAAAGTGTGGAGTGTGGAAGTGAGGAAGTGAGGAGTGTAAAGTGTGGAGTGTGGAGTGTAAAGTGTGGAGTGTGGAGTGAGGAGTGTAAAGTGTGAAGTGTGAAGTGTGGAGTTTAAAATGTAAAGTGTGGATTGTAGAGTGTAAAGTGTAGAGTGTGGAGTGTGGAGTGAGGGGTGTAAAGTGTGGAGTGTGGAGTGAGGAGTGTAAAGTAAGGAGTGTATAGTGTAAAGTGTGGAGTGTGGAGTGTAAAGTGTAGAGTGTGGAGTGTGGAGTGTAAAGTGTAGAGTGAGGAGTGAGGAGTGGAAAGTGTAGAGTGCAGTGTAAAGTGTGGAGTGTGGAGTGTAAAGTCTCAGGTGACGAGTGGGGAAGTGTAAAGTGCAAAGTGTAAAGTGTGGAGTGTAAAGTGTAAATTGTGGAGTGTAAAGGGTAGAGTGTGGAGCGCACAGCTTCCCCCATAGACACGGCGAAGCCACGGGCAAACCAGAGACTCGAGACGAGACACGTGGGAGCACCAAAATGAGCATTTCGTACGAGACTTTCTCCAATTTTTATTTTTTCGGCACGTTATCAAACAGGTTGGAATGTCACAAAGTGCCATGCCTGCCACGCAAAACGACAGGACAACCTGCTTGGAAACCTTCGAAAAGGACATGTTTTCCAGCTTCCCCCATAGACACGGCGACGCCACAGGAAAACGAGAGACGCGCGACAAGACACGTGGATGCAGAAAAAACAGCATTTCGTACGAGACTTCCTCCAATTTTGACATTTTTGACACATTATCAAACAGGTTGGAATGTCACAAAGTGCCACGCCTGCCACGCAAAACGACATGACAACTTCCTTGGAAACCTTCGAAAAGGAGAGGTTTTGCGGCTTCCCCCATAGACACGGCGAACCCACAGGAAAACCAGAGACTCGAGACAAGACACGTGGGAGCACCAAAACGATCATTTCGTACAAGACTTCCGGCCATTTTCACAGTTGGCCACATGACAAAAGGACAAGTTTTGCAGCTTCCCCCATAGACACGGTGAGGCCACGGGAAAACCAGAGACGCGAGACGAGACAGGTGGGAGCACCAAAACGAGCATTTCGTGCGAGACTTCCTCCAATTTTCACACTTTGTAGCTGCAAAATCGACGTTTTCCTACGAGTTTTCCTTAGAACCTGAAAATTTGCAACCTCAAAATCGATGTTTCGTGCGAGGCTTCCGTCAATTTTCAGCACATCACACAAAATGCCACGCCTGCCACGGAATTTGCACCTTGTCACCACTTGACGCAGCCCTGCCAATGCGATTTTCTAAAGTGCTGCGCCTGCCACGAAAAATGACGATGGACACGTCCAAAGTGCTGCGTCGGCCACGAAAACTGCAACACATCTTCTGACAACGTCACAAAAGTATTGCGCCTGCCACGCAAAACGACTTTCGACACGTTCCAGAACACGTCTGAATGTCACGAAGTGCCACGCCTGCCACGCGAAACGAAGCAACGACACGTCTGCAACCCCCAAAAAGGACCACCTCTGCAGAACTTCCCATAGGCACGGCCATACGGGGATCGCGCGAACACTTGCGGACGGTTGCGGACGGTTGCGGACGGTTGCGAACGGTTGCGAACGGTTGCGAACGGTTGCGATCGTGAACGCAACGTCGAGCGAACACACCCTCAACCCCCAGACCCCCAGAGTGAAACGGGAACCCTTGCTACGCATTCGGGAAAAATATCAGAGGATTTCAAAGGCAACTTGTCACGAGGAGCGCATTGTGCACAGTCCACGCTGGATGCGGGCAGGCAAACTGGATTGGCTCCTGGGTCTGATGGCTTGCATGTCCTCTCTATGGTCGATGCACACTAACCTGAGGCGTTGGATAAACTGCCTTCGGGAGTCTCTACAACAATCATCCGTCCACTGCAAAGGCAGTGCCTGAAGTTTCAGAACCCCATGTCAGGAAATAAAGATGAAAATAAATGAAAAAATACCTGAAAGTGGTCCATAGTGGTCCAAGTACTGCTTGTTGAGAGCCCTGCATCCCCATGATTGGTTCACATCCCATTGTCGCTCGAAGTCCGCAAAGTCCGCGCTAAGCTCCAAAACCCCAAGGCTGAGTTGCTGGCTGAAAGCCTTCGTAGAGCGTTGCTGAACATGGGTTGCATCTTCTGGTAATGTGCGCTGTCTGTTCAAGATGGATCTTGTAGTGCATTCTTCCTGATCACCATGTCTCCAAGAAGTTGTTCTTCAATCATTATTGATTGATATTGCTTGCAAAGGTTGTACACATAGTTTGCCAATTTGTTTGCCAACTAGATTGATCGAAATCGGTTGAAATCGGTTGAAATCGGTTGTTGCATGCTGTGTGAGCAAAGAAGTCTGGTCACAACCTGCCCAAGAAATACTGCCGGCCTCGAGTCGGACACGGCTTGTAGAAAAGAAACATCCGTAAAACAGGCCATCCAAATCACACATCGGCAATCATCGCAAGGCTTCATGATACCAAGAAAAGCCGTGTTCTGCTTGAATGATTTTGAATGATCATGAGGCAGGGCAAGGCAAGCGTTTTTCAAAAATAGCGCTACTTCGCGCGGAGCTCGTTGATTGCATCGCCAGCGATGCCGGCCTTGGTGTTAGGCTTCATCACCCATGTCTCTCCCAAAGATCTGCTCCTTTTGCTGCCACGTTCATGTGATTCTCAGGGATCAAGTCATACTATCATATCCAGAAAATATCTGTGTGTATATATATATATACATATATAATGCTTCAGGATGGGAGCGTCGAGTCTAGAGGTTGCAAGATGCGCACCAACAAGGTAAGAACCCAGAACCAAAGACCCTTGACTCTTATCTCTACCAAGCGCGACAAAAGCTGGGACATGCGACAATAGCAACATCGTCGGCGCGTGGCAGGTAGTAATACCTCGGTTTTTGTTGCAGTCATTAGGCACTGACAGAAAATGACAGATCTGCCAAGTGCCCAAACATATCCTAACATTACTCCTGACGGCTTCCAAAAACGCTTCCAAAAAACGCTCCAAATTAAAGCTCACCAGATTCCCATCCGCAAACAAGGCACCGTCCCTGAGCTCGATCAACCAGAGTCTTCGCAACTCCAGAAGAGACATATTTGTTTTCAGTGTCAATGAGCAGAAACTTGAAACCTTAGGGATCAGGACCACTGATGTCTGTCTCATCAGTTTCAACAAAATCCTCGTGTTCTCAATTCGCAGGAATGGTGCGTCTTGCACTGCCCACATCGTGACAAATGCATACAAACGCAACATATCGACCGACAAGAAAGTAAACAACGCATGTTTTGCTGGGAGACCCAAGGCTCTCATCTTGTCAGCGAGAATGTAGCACTCTTCCTGCCCAGAGTTACTGTACTATATAATAAGTCTAACAGGCAGGAAATATGGTGATCATTTGGTAAATAAATTTATCTCATCTTGTCTCAATGTGTATCGGCATTGAGCAGTTCAGGGTTGCCTGAAGGTCTTCTTTGGGCACTTTCTTCATTTTCCCATTCTCATCCTCGCGGCAGCATCTTTGCGTGTAGAAACATCCAGCTGAGGAAATGTGCGAGCAAAAGAGACCAGTAAGGTATGTTGCACATTGCTGACTGCTCTATGAAGGAACAAAGCATCCCAAGATATCATGAATCACTGGAAGCAGATTGAAGCCACGGAGTCAGTCCAGGGCACTTTGGTCACCCTCGCTGACTGCCAAGGGGACATTGGCGCGACCATCTGTAATGGCCACAACGCAAACCTTTGCGCAGAAAGATAAAGACCCAAGAATTCATGTCTTACAGTACAATGCACAGAATGAATATAACAAGAAAAGATTTGCGGCACTTCGACTTCGCCTGGCCAACATCAGAACTCTTCATTGCATTGGTTCCGATGAGAACGGCCTGCCCGCTTGATTTCTTTTCTCAGAACGAGCTGCTAGCGTTAATCTGATTTTGGAGATGCTGTAAATTTGTTTCTATGTGCCTGTGTGTTTTTTTGCACTCATGTTTGGGTCAAAGTCAAAATATTAGTCATACGAGCCTTTCAAAAGCTCGAAACCTATTCACAAACCATCGCATTGTGAATGCACATGACACACCTGGGAGAGAGCGTGGGCCAAGGGCGTTCCTCCACCACAAGGCAATACCTGACACTACGACTTTGAGGTGCAAGTGTCCAATGTAAAATCATGCCGTGTTCATGAATCGTACGCATCAACGTGCCTTCATGCTGCCGCTGGCACGCGCCACCGAAGAAGTTGGCTGCACCAGAACCTGCTGAAAATGTGTCTGGAAGCTGGAAATGGTATCGAATGCATCCTTTCTGACAGACCTGTGCCAAAAAAATCAAGGATGACATTCCCTTCGCATTCTTTATTCATATAATTATCTACACTGCTAAATTATCTAAATTATCTACTATTGCAATATATGACAGCTAATATTGAAACTACACTACTAATCCTAATATTGCTGCTATTGTTCACATTTGTTCACCATCCTTCCCTGCTTGCGCCAGGCCTCTGCAGAGATGCCTCGGCATGGAATCATCGCCACCTCCAGCAGGACTGGGGATGGGAGGCGATTGCTTCTTCCTGTTACAGTTGATATTATGTAAAGCAATGTATATATATATATATATTAAAATATATATATATAATTATATATAACTATAAATTATATACTTATATAAAGATGTGTTTTCTGAAGGGAAAAAACGTACACAATACATGCTGTATATATATGTATATAATATGTATAATAATACGTATGTGTAAGGCCATTATACAATGTAAGATATACTTGAATATATTTCATATACATTGCCCTAACACCAGCCTACCAAGTCACCCGGCCTGGTCTCGCTGTTGATAGGCGTTCTCCAAGAGCCGCAGCACTGCACCCTTGGCGTTCTGCATGCGGTTCAATGCCATGGAACCTTGGCACATCACCTGAAATGTTTCCTTCGAGCAACTCCAAAACAGAATGGTGCAAAACAATCCTGCATCGGCATGTTTGATTATCGACAGAATGAGGATGAGGATGATGATCATCATGGTGGTGGTGGTGGTGGTGGTGGTGATCAAACTGAAGCTGTGACTGCAGGGAATTTGATACTGGGGAGGAGACCACTGGCATCAACAACAAAAATCACCAGGGCACCCGCCTGCCAAGCGAAACAGCCCCTGCTAATTTCCAGGGGAATCAAGAGCATCAAATTCTACTACAAGAGGAAACCCAAATGAATAGGTTCTATGGATTTCTATGGCATCTTACATCTTAGGACAGAATTAGACATGAGCCATCTTTTTGACCCAGATGTGAAGGGCCTTGCGGGCCATCTTTTTGACCCAAATGTCACTTCGCTCGATGTAGACGTTTCTGAGCTCCTGGTGAAAGCACTTGAAGTGGAGATGAAGTGGAGCAAAACGGGCGTGAGGAGTCTTGAAACACACTCAAACAACCTTGTGTTCAAGGGCAATGGAAGTGTAGATGTGTAGAGTCTCGAGGGTATATATAAAGAAGAAAAAACATGAGGGAGAAACCGAAAGAAACCGAACCTCTGGCTTCAACTTCTTTGCTGCCTCTTCTCGCCTCATCTTTTGATACACCACGGCCTCAGGACGAAAGTTTGCATTTTACCCCTGAACAAATCTCTCCATGTCATTCCATGTTTGTCATTGCTGTCCTTGACCCAGGAGGGAACTGTCAGAGAGTAAGCACCCAACATTTCGCAGCGTGGCATCCAACGCAATCTTTCCACTCTTTGTGTCACCACCCTTGGGCAGCATTGCCTTGCACTTGCAGAAGCATTTGACGGCAATATTGCCAAAGCCAAATCATATAAATCATGAGGATTCTTGAATGCTTAGAAAACCCTTCCTCTACAAGTTCGCCAAGTCGTAAGAGATATCAGATAATACCCTCAGCCTTCACGTACCGGCCACGATCCATGGAGTAGATCTTGTTCCCCTTGCCACTTCGACCTTTGGCATCATGAAAAAAAATACCACGGCGCTGACACCACCAGGCTGTCATGGCAGATATGGCAGACCAATTGCCTGGGATCCCAGCCACTCTTCTTCTGCTTTTGCTGAAATTTCAGCAGGTCGGGGTCGACCACAGCACCTGGTTTTCGTTTTAAGGCCGGGTGGTCAAGGCATGTCAAGACAGGGATGGTCAGGGTCCAACATGGTCCAACTACGATCACATCCAAGCCTTCGGGGTCAATCATGAACTCCTCAGGTACATCCGGATCTTGATCCTCCTGATGGGACCAGCTGATCTGTTGGAAATGGTTGAAATGGTTGAAATGGTTGAAGTATGTTAAACTGCAGGACGGGTCTGACTGCTCAGAAGTACCACAGGGAACCGAGGGACTGAAAGACTCAACCTAAGAATTTCATCTGGACTCGCCACATCTGCTGAAAGCCAACCTGATCTTCGGTTTCATCCGGTTCTTCTTCTTCCTCCTGCTCTTCCTCCTCAAATTCATCCTGCAGAAATTTGGCGTCTGGATCCAACTCCGGCAGAATGCACTGTCAACTCACGAAGCATTGCCAACCTGCTCAGGTGGAGGTTCCATCTCCTCCCGGGGAATTGGTGCCACTGTGCCGCAAATACTTGGAATTGGCACAGATGGGTACAGTATATGTATAAATATATATATATGTGTTTATACATATATAATCATATATAGATATAGATATAGATATAGATATAGATATAGATATAGATATAGATATAGATATATATATATATATATTCATATTATATATATATATTCATATTATATATATAGATAGATATAGATATATATATATATATATTCATATTATATATATATATTCATATTATATATATATATATTCATATTATATATATAGATAGATAGATATATATATATATATTCTATATATATACATATATTAGACCATGTTGAATCATCAGTAACTATCGTAAGCAGAGAGACCAGACCAAATGTCAAAGGAAGTGAGCAACAAAATCACTGATGCCAAGGTAAACCAGGAAATACACATCTGATGGAAATCGTGCACACAACATGTCATCCTCCGGATCATCTTGATCAGGTTGAGGTGGTGGAGGTGGAGGTGGAGGTGGCTCCTCCTCTTCCTAGAAAGTTCTGTTCAGATCTGTTTGGATTCTGCTGCCAAATGCCAAATGGAAGCCTTGAGACGATATCTGAAAGATTGTGCACACAACACACCGCCATATCACCCGTATTATCACGGCGAATCCCATTTGAATCCATTTGCAGTTTGCAGATTCCGATTGGGCCGCCTCTATCTCCTCTTGCATCTGCGCTTCCTGCACTCGAATTCGTGGCCTCAGTGTCTACTTTTAAGTTTAGTGGTTGATTCTGTAGACAACAAAAGTATCCAGAAGTAGGATGCGACCCTGAGACACTGACAGGATTGCGAGTTTGATTGCCTGCTTCAAGTCTTCCGCGTTGCAAACATCCCGACCTTTTCAGGTGAAGACATTCAACGTTGGTTAAATATGTTAAATCAGTGTGAATTGTTTCAACATGTTTCAACCACAACGACACTACTTGTTCATCACATCTGTCACCACCTTGAAGTGCCGCGTGAGCACGGGCAATCTTGACGGCAAAGACCTCGCCACGATGGCCTTCATCGGGTCACAGCCGGTTGTCGCAGCTGTACCAGGCGTCCACAGCCAGAAGTTCTGCCTTCGCAGCCACCGCGACTGGCTTCCTCTGCTAATCGTCCAAACTGTTCTTCGGTAATCTTGACCTTGCAGAGTCGGGACATTGAATGCGAATAAGAACTACATAACTTGTATCGACTGATTATAACATATTATAACTAGACTATGCCTATGCCTATGCGCCTATGCATGTTGAAATACTGACTCTTCTCAGAGACCGGGGCATCATTGAGAAACTCGCGAGCGAAGAGAAGTTGAGTCCTCAAACCAAACGTTGGAAACTGCTCGATGAGAGCCTGCGCGGACTGTGCGGCTTGGCTGTTCTGAGAGCGCAACTGCATTGCAGAGATCTCCGAAGCGCTTTCGTCCAGAGAAGCCGCAGGCCTGCAGCCAAAGCTTTCATGCGTGGCATGTAATCATCTTGCATCATCTTGCAATGGAAAAGCGTAGGAACTTATTAACTTCGTTGAAAAATGCTGAAAATGGAACTCGTCTGGAGCCTTTCAGCAAAATCAATGGCGGAAAGTGCAGCACTGACGCGCTCGTCCAGGTCAGTGTAGACAGTGGCCACGTCTGTGTTCAGCCTTGACAAATGAAGAGTTTCAGATATCTTCAGAGTGTGAAATTATTGTCAAATTATTGCTGTTCCCTTCCAGGACACTGCCCTCTTCATGTTTCTGGGATCAACACGAGATTGCCAAGCGATCCAGCAGGTGCGGCCGCAAAGGACCTGCAAAGCAATGTCAGCATCTTTAAAAGAATGCATACTGTCATCATACTGTAGCATTTCAACTGGCCATTCAACGGAGTTCAGTGCGCCTTCTTCCGGATTCCAAGTTGCTATCACTAGCGGTCTGCAAGGGTGAGCCTTGTGCACTCGCTGAGAACTCTAGCAGCCACTCTAGCAGCCATACATCTCGCGCTACACAAATGAAACGAGAGTCCCTGACCATGCTTGCTTCTTATCAGCCAGAGGCAGCCAGAGATCATCACCCCTAAACCTAGTTCAGGTCCTCTGGACAGTGTGACAACATCGTCATGTTGAGACATGACATGCGATGGCAACCATGGTTTATCCTGCTTGTCATTTGCACTGAGTGCAGTGCCACCGAGAGCCCTTCTCGTTCCACCCGGTTCACTCCACTTTCAACTGCCTCGGAGAGACGCACAATCATCCCAAATGTCTGCTTTCTGCTTTTCTCAGCTAAGTGTAATTCGAAAACAGCAGTCGCTTCATGAAAATCTCCGGGTTTTGTTGGTATGCATGCTTGCACATGATCTCAAAGGCTGCAGCTGTCAAGAGCAAGCTGACCAAATCATCCTGACCGCACCACGGCACGGGGCGTCCGAGACAGCAAGGAATGGTTTTCACTCACTTCGCAAAATTCATTGAGCAGTTGGGCTACAGGTCCTGGAGCAAGTTGACATCGTCGATGTACAAGACACCCCGATGTGCCTTTGCAAGCCTTAAGCCAAGACCAAAGCACAACACCCTCAGCTAAAAGGCTCTGAAAGGTTTCTGGGGCAGCTGCAGTCCAGGTTCAAAAATTGGTCGGCCTGCATCCATGGATGCCTCACAAGCATGAAATAAGTATGGAATATAAGCTGTCACCAATCAGTAGCATCTTCAATTTGTGGAGTGTTGAATGGGGTCCTCAAAACGGTGCACATGGCATCAGCAAAATACAACAAGGACGTTTCGAAAATATGTCAGTGCAAGTTGCTGCAAGAGGTGAAAATATGAGAAGCACCAAAATTATCGAAAGCGGTGATGGGCCTGGACATCCAACGATCCAACAAGTCTGTCTTCCGTACAGCCCAAAGGCCTCGAGAGGGCTGAGATAACAGGATCACGGACATGGCCACCAAATGCCAACGGTGTATTAGGAACAAACCTCCAAGGTCTGAATCCAGGTTGGAGTCAATGGAGTCCTCTCCCTGGTCTTTTTCTGTTCATCTAGATAATCTATTGATCTGCCTGCAGGAACTTGCCTATCAAAGCCAGCTGAACATGTCTGCAGCTGCCTAAACTTTCAACCCTGTTTGAAAGAACCTAAGTCTGCCATCCCGCAGTCAGTGCCAGTCAATCAAGCTCATGGCAATTCAATGAAGGGGCAATCGATGACCTTTGTCTTGACCTTGCCCTGCAGATCAAGACATGATAAAAACAAATTGGATCAAAGCATGCGCTGTTGCTCTCAAGATGTGTGCTAGTTTGCAAAAGCATGCAAGCAGGTCAAGAGCATCTTCCTCTCGGATTGGAGAAGCAGCATTGCCTTGTCATCTTTGACCATACGCTCGCGGCTAAGAACATCCCACCTGCTCAGCAATCATCTAGCCGCAAAGTCTGGACAAATTGGGCAAACAACATGAGCACTGCCAAATGTTCCAATGTTGTTGTATAACATCAATGTGCTCTTCGCTCAAGAAAGTCTCCAACACATTGGACTCCAGCAAGAACTTCCATGTTTGTTCCAGCTGAGTCTTTCACTCAGAGGGTTTGCTGGGATCACAGTTGCAGATGGAGTTCTCCACAACCTGGACAAATCATGACGCACCTTGTCACCTTGCTGTCGATTCAAAAGTGATTTGCAGTAGCGGCATCAAATTTTGAAAGCAATGCGACCTCAATCTTTGGGAGCACTCCGCGCAAAGAACGGGCTAGGGTCCTTAGGCCCACAATGGTGTTCCACAATGTTCCACATCCACAGGAGGTGGGTGAATAGACTGCTCCATTTCTTAGAACAAGGCGTTTTCCCAGTTCCGTGTCCGCCGGAAATTCCTGACAAGTTTGCAGCGTCTTCTTGTCTTAGTCTTCTTCTTGCCACTTTGGATGAGACTTGCCAAGCTTTGAGCAAGGTGCTCTACAGTGCAACGGCAACAGTGTCTGCCCATGTCTGCCCATGTCTGCCCATGTCTGCCCATGTCTGCCCATGTCTGCCCATGTCTGCCCATGGCCTACTCCTCCAAGGGAAGGATCGATGCAAGCCTTTGGTACCAGTAGAGAACAATCATGAGCAATCTAAGGAAATCATTCAGTCCAAACCAGCATTGACCCTGATGCGGCTTTATAGATTGTTAAAGAATGTTAAAGATATTAAAGCCGAAAACTCCCAGTTTACAGAGGCATTATGATTCTCTCGAGCAGAGGTGTGTTTAGTCCTGGCCCCCTTCTGTTTAAACTGTCCGACTTGGCCCTAGACCAGCTTCAAGGCCAGCTTGACTTCCTCTAGACCTTCCACTCGAGTCATGGGAATCACCTGGGCCAGGGCTCAACCATGAGTAGTTGAATAGTCCTGGCGATCTCTTGGTCCCTTTTTGGAAATGTCAATTTGTCAATTTGAAGCGGACCATTCCCTTTCGGTCCCGCACCATTCCTCTTCCTTTGGAATCTGCCTGGCCGGTTGAAATCCAAAAGCGTTGAGTGTTTTGGTCTTTCGCCTTTGGATCTTTTGGATGTGATGCAGAGGTCGAGGCCTCCTTTGGAGCCTCCTTTGGAGCTGCCTTGACTTTGTCATCGACAGCGACTCTCACCTTAGACGGCAGCGGGTGCCCTCTGAACCAACAAGAGAACGCCAGGCATTCAGCAAATGGCAATGAAACATAAATAAGACACCCTTCTATGCTAGTGCTCTTCCAACATCGTTCTACAGGTTCAACCATCTTTCGGAAGAAAGCAGAACTGCTGTATTACACTAAATCAGCCTGGCATGTACTTCCAGAGTCTTGACTCCCTGATGACTTAAGATTGCCTGAAAAATGTTACCACGAAACAGGCTGAAGTCTGTTTGTGTGTTTAGCAATTCCGATCGGTATTCAAACAGACTGCTGACAAAGCCATGCTTGCCACTAAGGTCGTGGCGATGACTCGCTTGCGACTTCTTGAAGCTTTGGAGGCAGCAAAGGGAATAGCAAGCAGTGAGCCTGTCTGCTCAAAGAAGCAAGTTCCAAAACAACTGGCACCAATCAGAAATAAGATGAAATAAGCACCTGCGCCCAGCGAAAGCCCTGAAACTCTGGGAGGCTTAAACCTGCAAGCCATTGTCTGACAAATCATCCCAGGGTATGATGCTGCAATGCATCTGGAAGAAACAAGGGGCAAACGTCTGACAACACGTCAGCTTTGTTCAAAACAGCTTCAAAGTGCATCCAGAGAACGTCCGCCGGCTTCCTGTTGTATGAACATCTGACGGCTGCAAATGCCTCATTCAGCTAGGGGGTAATGTTTTTGGAAAACGCATCAAACATGAAAAATGTATAAAAGCGTAGGGTCACTCTCTTCAGGGAAATGTGCTAAAGTGTTAACACATGTCCTACACGATTCATGTAAATGTCATCAGGTCCAGCCGCCTCACAGGGATCCATGAACTTGGTTCCATGGCCCTGCGGTCAGCGCGGCACTGGCTTTTGGAGATGTCAACGAATTTAGCCGTGAAATATGCAGCGCCTGAGGCAAGACCGAGGTTGCCTCCTCCCCTTCGGCCGCCTTTGAGAAAGGGAAAATCTAAAAAATATCAGCTTGGCACGGTTTGAGCCGAAGGAAAATACGGAGAACTGAAGTGTGCTCAGCTTGCATGGATTCATTGCACAAGCAGGAAATTGTTGGCACGGGAATCAAATTCCAACGCATTCAGCTGTGCTTTCGCGTCTTTTCGATTGTAGCGTCAAATTCAAATGATGCTCTTTGAGCCTGAAGCACCCTTGGTGCAGGCTGGGAGCACAGACCCGGCTCATTTCACAGGTCGACTAGGGCAGTGCAGAATTGAAAGTATGAATTCGGTATAATTCGGTCAGCCTCGCAAACTCTGCTCACTCGTTTTCGGTCAAAAACAATGCTGCGGCATTCAGCTTGCGCTGACGTGTACTGTCTGTACTGAGCTCCACCTGACGTGCAGCAAGGCTTCTCCACTTGGATGTGGTATGAGTGGTCCATGCTCCTTATTCGGTTCAGTATCCCAGATCCCTCTATATTTGGTCATGGCAAATATATGCAAGTATAAAGTGCAATACATCTGTAGAGTTAGAGTAGGCTCAGATTGAATCAGACATCATGATCAACACAGAATCTTGCTAATCTTTGCCTCTGCAATCAAACGTTCTCGCGTCAGCGAGGCGTAAACGGGCCTCAGCATTTTCTTTTGAATCAAACATTAAAATGATGATAATTGGTACTGTAGCCGTCGCCTTCTGTCGAATCTGACAGGAAATCCTAGCATGATACTGCATGAGTTTGGTTCAATTGAGAGGCTCCACAAGTCCGCAAACAGGCCGACATGCAAGCTGATAGCTCTGTATACCATGGAAAATCGTAGGCAGGTTTGTATCAAAATGAAATTGGCTTCACAACTGAGACTCGGGCAAAGAAATTGTGCCAGCTGCACGCGCTGATGAAGCTGTTCTTTCTGGGTGTGCAACTTTGGACATCCAGGCAATTGTCAAAGGTGGCAGAACTGATACGAGTGAAGAAGTTCGCTGTCCCTCAACCAAAATGCGCTTCGACTCATCAAAAGCGCAACCTTCAAGAATCAACTCTTGCACTGTAATTGGCAATGGTGAAGAATCATCTCTCAACAAGTGTGGTTCAAAGGTGGACACCAAATGTAAGTTGTCAATTGACACTGCCAGTCTTCGGGCAGTTTGCTGTCTTAAGGCATTGAGGAAGACATCCGGCCGCAGGAAATCGCTCAGAGACACCGGCTGCCCGGTGACGTCCCTGGACTGAACCCGCCTGATCCAGTCTCCTTTCAATGCCACGATTCGCTTGGCCAAGCCCTGCAGGTAGAGCGAAGGCTCTTCTGGTGCTGATGGCCAGGTTGAAGCCCAGGTTTCTGGTACTTCACCTCTAATCAAGGCCTTCGCTTGGACCTGTAGGTCTGGGGTGCTGAGGGCAGTTCCATTCACGACCTTCTGCAATGTTGTCAGTGCCGTAGTGACCAGCTCGCCTAGGCGAGAAGCCTCCGCAGCATCCATCAAAACGAAGGCCACGGTGGGAGAATCGTCAGGTGTCACGGGCCGGATGTCAATCCCTCTGAGTTTGCTGAGCTGTCCCTTGTTGACATTTTCCCAGATCGTGAACAACGGTGCAAGTTGGGTCCTCCACAACTTGATATCAACGGCCGTCGAGTGGCTTCCCTCAGAGGCCCCTCCAGTGGCCAACTGCCTCAGAGAGGCGATGGCCTTGGTGGAATTGATACGTTGTAAGGAGCGGTCTGCATTGGGAGCCATGCCAAAGGATGCAGGATTGTCCAAGTCGGGCAGTTGATCCACCCGTGCCCGGAAGTCTGCCATGTTGGTGGATGCAGGCAGATCGAAGGCTGGGATGTCCACCCCTGACTTCCTCCTGCCACCCTCCAGAGTCTCACTCTTGAAGAACATGGCCAAGTACTCACGAACCAGGCGAGAGTCGAACTCATTGTCCACACGACTTCCATACACTGCCTGCTCCAAGACTCCAATCAGTGTGACCCAATCAATTCCGGATCCTGGGTTTTTCATAGATTCTCCTGCTTTCACCAGTAATGAAACTGTCTCACATGCACTTTGCAAATCACTCTGTGAGAACTCGTAGAATTTCGTCCATCCTTGTGGGATGTAGGTTCGTCGCTCTTGCATGATAGCATGGAAATGCGCGCAGAGGAAGATCACTCTGGAACGCAAATCATTTCCTTGTCCAAACCAGTTCTGATTCCAAGATTCCAAGGTTCTGAGAATGTTTTTCTTCACTCCAGGAGGAGCTTCGTATGTCACCTTCAACGATGTCTCCAGGAGGATGGTTGGGAATTTGGCATGAGCTTCAGTGGTGAGCCAACACCTAAAGTTCTCATGAGGCTGCAGATTCTTGAGTTCCTTCTCCAACAAAGGTACCCAGCTGATGACCAAGTGCAGATTCTTCAAGCAAATCCAATCACCAGTCCTGGCCGCCTCGTGCAGGAGCCTGATAGCATCATCATTCTGCCCACCTCCCATGGCCAGTTGATGGAAATTCATATGTGGTGCGTGATCTGCAGCATAGGTCTTGGCATAGTCGTCCAGCTCCGCGGAAGGATCTGCGCCAGGAGTTGTGACGAAAAGGGTTGGCAGCCGGTTGCTGGTCTCCTTCAGGCGGCTTCACAGCTTTGCTGTCGCAGGTGATTTACACATCAATTTTGTGACATGAAACACTGGGATGTACTAATTCCATGACGTTAGGGTGTGCATCACTCTATTGCACTTCTGAGAGAATCGGATTGTGTCTCTCTATAATTGTTTTTAATGTAATTGTGAATATGCTGATATATATTTATGTTAGTGTTGTATGTATTTTATATATATAGTCCATTATATTCATATATACAAGATATAGATTCAGACTTGACTAGACCAGGACTAGACCTTTGAAGGTTCATGTCTCCTCTTTGAACAAGCGGTTTAAGCTCAAAGCCGGAGGTGACAACGAAGAGACCCCCAAGGATTCACAGGCGAACTGCGTGAGAGCCGACTCCAAGCGATCCGGCCGCACGGCCTGGATGAGCAGAACACGTTGGAAGGCCGACATCCGCGAGTAGACCGAGCCATCGAAGGATTCTTCGCATTTGTCGGAGGCAACCCAGGAAGACCACAAGGAATCCTTGTTCAACTGCCAAAGTTCATCAATTCGTGGGAAGGTGGCACGTAAGAGTTGTAAAGATGTCGCCCTGTCTGGTGGACACCAGCTGGGTGCAGGAGTGGATGGCTGGCTGGGAGGGATGTATGCTCCTTGGAAGAGCTCCCATTCATTCTCCTCAAACTTCTCGGGCATGATGCCTCGCACCATGTGAATACCAAAAGTCAGTCTGTCGGACTTGAAGAGGGAACGAGCAATGTAGAAGAGCACCATGATCTTCAATTGGTTTCCAAGTTGCCTCAACTTTTCTTGTGTACTGTCAACCCCAAGCTCCAGATTCAGCACCTTGTTGAACAGTGTCATGAAGGCTTCCAAAGAGAAGCGGTACATGTGATCAATGGCACACAGCTCCTTCACCAGAATGAAGATGCGAGAGCCCAAAGTGGCCAGCGGCCGATAGACCTCGCGCTCCTCATCCAAGACCATCTGAAGCCTCGATGACTCGTCCAAGGACTGGTTGATGGTGGTAGCTGCAGCCTTTGTTTGTTCCAAGGATTGGATCAGAGGTTCGTTCTCCAAGATATTGCCACTGGAGTCGGCCAACTGCTCCAAGAGCCGCTTCTCCAGATTTGACACTTCAACCTGTGAAAAAAGGTAGGCTATGGGGCTGGGCAACAAGCAGAATGACAGGAGTACGAGTGGTGGGGACCAAGTCTCCGTTTAATTTAATGTTCACGGTTTAAAGAATCCATCATGAAACAACTGTTGTGTCACAACAGCATCCAAGCTTGACTTCCGCACCTTTAAAGCCTCTTCTTTCTGTAGCAGCTCTGACTTCCGATGCTCAAGTTCTGGCTTCTCATACTGCAACGTCACACCCAAGAGCTGCCCTTCAAGTCCGGCTCTTGTCACTGTGAAGTTTACTCTTGTAACCAGACATGCAGTGTTGGGAGGAAGCATCTCAATTGCACTTGAATTTCGAGTGCACAAAAAGAGCTTGAAATTGTCATCAAAGTCGCACATCTTGTCACTGATCTGAACTGCTTTCCTTGGACCTTGTCTCACCATGTCTCGCCGCAGCAAGGGGACCAAGTAGTTGTCAATCCCATCCACCTCTTGGATGATCAAGACCTTGCCAAATCGCACGGAGAGCTCCAGCTGTGACACCAACTTGGGATCCTGCTGAAGGACGATCTCAGCTGAAGAGTTGGTCTGCTTGAGCCAGTCCAGGGCTTGGCTGTTTGGATCCACGATGAAGGGCACCAAGATCCCTTCATCGATCATCACAGCATTCTCCTGCGACAGACGATCTGCTGAGAGCCCCTGGGCCTTCCAGGTCAGCAGCTCGCTCTCAGAAGACATGATCCGCAGGAAGTCGAAGGTCGTGATGCCACGTGACTCGGTCCACATGGAGTGCGCCTGGCAATGAAACAACACACAAAAAAAAAAACAAGCATGATTTTGCATCCATTTATTGAACTTAATTGAACTTATATCGCAAATTATTGGATTTGGATGGATTTGGGTATTTTCACAAAGGCAAAACACTTCAACAGAAAAGGGCACGTGGCATGTTCACCCATGTTCACCGCCTGCTGCCGCACGTCCTCCGAGAAGTGTCCCAGATATGTGCAGTAGGCAGCTGAGAGGCAGGTGTGCGTCGACAGCAACGCTGCATCCCTTTGGATCTCGGCCACTTGGTGCTCCCAACGATCCTTCTCTCCAGACATCTTGGACATGAGGTGGTTGGCCTTCAGGGTTCCACATAGATTTGATGGATGGATGATGCATGGATATGTGGGGATGCATCTGGTGAATGCAAGGATGCCCATCACAGTTTTACAAGTGAAAAAACTGGACCCTGCCAGACCTTCTGCAGCGTGGTTTCCGCACGTTCTAGGTCTACCTTGAGCACTGCAGCTTCGCCCTTACGTTGTCCGAACTCCTCTTGCAGCACCGCCACTTCCTCATCGATCTTCACCAGCTCCTGCGATGTGGCGAAGGCATCGGGGAACTCACAGATTTTGCTCATTTTGTACACCAGCTTTGTATAGCTTTACATAGCTTTACATTATCTACAGAAGAGCTGGGCCTAATTTCGACCCCGACCTGTCCAATCTGCGAGATGATGCAGCCGAGGGTGAAAATGAGCGCTGAATAGAGAGAGTTTACAGCACAAAATGCCTTTGTCATTTGCCATTGCAGCAACAGTTCTCTATCATGATGTGCTCAGCCAATGGTGGGTCTTGGGTTTCCACATGTTTCAACCTTTTTTGGGGAAAAAATCAAGCGTAAGACACAGTGCGTCATTGAACTTAGCACATCGGTCCTCTTTGTAGACAGTCAACTTCTCCTGTGCTGCTCGGAATGACTCCAGGGCCCTGTTGAGCTTCTCTTCCATGGGAGAAACCTTCACCAGCACCGTGCTGTATCTCACACTGGCCACCACCCATTTGGCCAATGGGGCTGCAGCCACTGAAACTCGGTAAATGGTGGCATGCTCAAAGGAATTGGCTTTTTCCCTCAGTAACTTCTCCACATCATGGCGGGTTTGATTGTCAATGGAGCGGGGATCAAAGTTGATGATTCTCTGAATGGCTCCTGTGCCAGCCAAGAATTTCTTCATTGAAGCCCAGGAGTTGTCATAGTTACCCATAATTCGCAAGACACCATTTAGCACATCGTGAATCGGATCTGGTGGCATTTTCAGGGCTCGAATTTCGTTCAAGTGTTCAGGTTTGATACTTCCAACTGCTTTCTTGGCTGCATCCAAAATAGGCTGAATCTCTGACAGCTCCTTCTCAATCTGTGCCTTTTCCTCTGCTGTTTTGTCTTGTTCCTCTTTGGTAAGGCCCTCCAACTGTTCCACCTCTTGCCTTCTCTCGGCAGATTTCTTCATGGCCTGTGTGATACGTTCCAGGGCTTCGTCTGCCAGCTGCTGCTTCTCTGCCAGCACGGCTTGTTTCTTAATGGCATCCTCTTGCAGTTGCTCCACCGTCTGGCTGACCTCCTGCAACTTCAAGAGACCCTTCTGCAAATGGGACGATTGCCCAGAAGCACTGGAAATCTTGGAGGAGTACATAGCATGACAAGTTTGAAGCAAGGTGATGAAGTGCCTGGGGCATGCACCCTTGGCCGCCTGGGAGGCATGGATGTATTGCAATAACGGACCCAAGTTCGTCCTCTTGCTGTCCAGAACCTCCTCTCCCAGGATTCGCTGTGCAATGATGGTCTTGCTGTGATCGCACCACTCATCAAGCCACAGCACAGTTGTACATGAGAAGAGAGCTGGATTTGCAGCGCAGTATGGCAAAAAGTGGGAATGATTGGGGTCCATGGATAGGACGACGTGCAAACGCTGCTGCACCTGGGTGCAAAAATACTCGAAGGGAGTCCGAGCTCCTCCCCCTCTGCCCTGCGAAGCTGCCCATTCTTCTTTCAACGGTGCCAGCAGCGGCTCCAGCTCTTCAGGGGTCCAAATGCCAGGCACATCGCCAGCACTTAACAAGGAATTGATGGATTCCAGGAACTCAGATTTCAACAAATGGTGGTCTTCCAATAGGAGGATAGTATGTTGCTTCTCCACACCTGTCATCTGCATCACTTGCTTCAGGTCGCGTTTCCACTCTTTATGGCCATAGCGGCGTGCAGGGGCTGGGCTGAACACTGCCAGGCGATGCATGTGAGCTAACAGGGAGATGGCAGATCTCTTTCCACCACCTGAGCGACCAACCACCAAGAGATCATTGGCCACGGGCGCAGCCAGTGCACGGTCCATCCACTTGATCTGTTCCAAGACTTCGGGCACCAGTTCGACATCAAGATCTTTCACCTCACGCTGATATGACTTCAGTCCATCTTGCACCATCTTTGTGTAGTCTTCCAATGCAACCTTCTTCATATCACCACTGGGCACACCTTCATCACCGAGTGTCAGCATCGATGTGAAGATCAACTTGTCAACGTCAACATCAGTGCCCAGGTACTGGATCAATGCATTGCGAAGGATGGCATCAAAATGATTCTTGGCCTCGTCTCCCACCAGTCGATCTCTGAAGATCCTGGTGGCTTCATAAGCCCAAGCTTCAATGAAGCTGTCGATGGAAACCACCTCATACCGCAGGAGCTGTAAGACCCATTGAGTCAAATCTCTGGGGTTGAACAAATAGTGCTCATGGTCATCCATTGTAAACTTCGCCTTCATGTTTGTGTACACGTCCACCATGGCTTCGGCAGCCTTGTCACAAACGGCATAAGCTCGATCTGCCACATTCTGCCAATGAGGCGCTGTCATGGTAGCACGTAAGAAGTGCGTGTAGACCTTCAAAGGGCGAATCTCTCATTGAATGGGCTGGAAAGAATAACTACGGAATAATATGTGGAAATTAGGAAGATCATGGCAAAACAATGCCTATCTCTTTTGAGGGCCGCCACGTTAGTATGGTGCTCTTCAGCTTTAAGGGATTGACCTCTTAAAAATGGCTTTTAGAATAGGTAACAGTGCAGCAATTACATTGATTTGTCCTGTTTTGTATGGTTTATCGGAAGTTTATCGCAGATCCCTCCAAAATTTGGCTGACCTTTCGGGTTTGTGCCTGCCTCTGTCAACTCCTCTGAGGACGGATAGGAGATGGAGCAAACCCTAACAATGGCCGTGAAGCGTGTCGCTAATCGATGTCGCCCAAGAGTGCTGGCAGGAGCAATGGACGCCACGATTTGGATGTGTTCCAACTGTACAAACTCCAAGTCATCATCATAGAATCCCTTATGCATCACTGCCTGTTGAAGGAACATGATGATCTCTGAGGTATCATATTTGTCCGGAGTTGGCAGGTTGATATCCTTCAAATACAACACCAGTCTTCGGCCTTCGCGGGGTCGATAGATGCGACCAGTGGTGCCCGTGGAGACGCTACAGAACTGGCGAAGCTTTTGCAGAACGTCCTGGTGGAAGCACTGGGCCGTTGTTAGGGCTATGGGCAGCTTGTGGAAAGGCCCAACTGGCTATCTTCAAAGTAAGGAATATATGATACATGATATACATTGATATACATGTATGGCCTACTTTTGGAGAGACTCTGCTAAACCAAATGCACAACATTCACTGTTTGATGAATCAGGGCATGCGACAAGAACATGCAAGAACATGAGACTTCAAGAGCAGTCCTTGGACGTTGTTTGAGCGTTGCAATTCAAGACCGCAACATTGAGTGCAGTGTCGGATTCATTTTGCAACCTCTGAATGGCATGGCGAATCAGCAAGTTCTTGCCAGAGCCCTCTGGACCGCTCACAATAAAAGGCTGTTCATGAGCTAACCAGGTCGCAAAGAGGTCCATGTTTCGAAGCACTGTTGCAGTGGGCACCAATGGTGGCAGGATGGAGGATCTCTGTACATCTTCCAAAGAGATTTCGGCAGCTGTTGACATCTGCTGATATCCGACGATCAGAGACTCAACCACCTGGCAATGCAGTGGTTGGCTGGGGTCTGGAATATTCTCGTTGGCCCACTTGAAGGCTTCCCTGGTCAACATGGCTCGATCCTCCTCCGACACATTGCCTCCCAAGCCTCGACAAATCGCCAGAAGGAAGTTCTGCTTGGTCAAGCCTGGACCCTCTGCGTCACCCTCTTGGCTCAGGTGCCCCAGCACGTTACTCACCATACCCATCCGGGTCGTTTCAATGGCCAACTCGTGATTTCCTTTGTAGAGCCAATCCAAGGCTCGGTAGAAGAGCTCGTCAAACCAACTCTCCAAACGCGCCTGCTAAACTGCTGCTTGATTTGAACAATTCACAAAATAGGTTTGCTAGGTCCTAGAATATCTCTCACCTCTCACATATACAACACCCTGGCAAAACAAGCAACAACCATCAACCAACAACCTGCTCTTTCCACCCCCACCTGCTGATCCTCTGGCTGCTTTAAGATCCATGATGTCACCAGTGGCTTCACATCAACATCTTCCTCCGACAGGAAGATGATGGTCAATCGACTAATTGTCGCAGGAGATGCAAAGCGCAAATGGTCAGTCTCGAAGACAAAGTTCACATTGGTACCAAACTGGATGCGTTCACCATTGGGCATGGTCAGCAAGCGATTGTCATCCAACACACTGTTCAAGGATTCCACCCACTCAGGATCGATATCGCCATCACAAACAATCCAATTGTGTGTGCTGCTGGGTTCCTTGATCACTTTTCTGGCACTGGCTGTAAGAACTCCATCGAACCATTCTCTGGTGTCATGGTCCATATGCCCCAAGAGTCTGACTCTGTGCATTGATTTGGGGTTCATGACATGAAGAACATACCTCTTGCCTTGCTTCTTGTACGCTGCCTCCAGCACCTTCCAAATGGTGGACTTTCCACAGCCTGAAGGTCCAACAATGCCCACGCCCATTCGTTGTTGACAGGCTTCATGAAATTGCAGCATCTTGTAGATCTGTGAATCGATTTCGGCCAAGCGCATTTCTCGGATGGTCTCACGGATGACAGCTTCCAACTCCTGATATTCAATATCTTTGACGTTGATGCCTGGAAAGAGATCCATGCACAGGTCTTGAAATCGTCGGGAGTCTGCAAAGGTGAGCTTTGACAAAGTGTTCATCCGGACTGCCTGGCAAACTTCAAAACATCTGGTCTCCGTTCCAACCCGAACAAGCCCTATCTGTGTCATCCAAAATTGCCCTGATAAATCATACAGCAAAACCATGTACAACCTCTAACTGTCCATAGCTGTCCATAGCTGTCCATAGCTGTCCATAGCTGTCCTGCCGTCCTGCCTTCAACAACAGGACCGCCTCCTCGTCTTCACGCAATGGTTCACTCTGTGCAGCCTTGATCTCCTGCAACAGGCGCCCAGCCAAGGTAAGGATGGGCTTCAACGCACGCAGACCCCAGTCGTAGTGCTGCTGTGAAGACAAAAGTTGTCGAGATAGGAGGAAGAGAGACACGATCCTACGTGCAACGACGCAACAATAACAGCGATATTCTGCGATATTATAGCATATTATAGCTATTATGCGATATTTGTTTTGAAACATGTGCTTAGCTCCCGGATCGATATTTTGCAAATCAAATTAACAAGCATTGCTCATTGCCGTTCGGTCCCTGCAAACTTTTTGCTTTTATTCATTCACCATGAAAAACAGGTGCACGAAAACTCTAACTAAACTTTGCACTTGCCAAGTCTCTTTTGTGCCAATACCTTCGCGCTGGCAAAGCCCTCGGCAAACATCATCACTTCGGCGATGAGCTCGTTGTCCGGAACACTCATAGCCACCTCAGCATGCAAAACACTACACACAGGCGGCACATCAGGGCCTTACACCACTCTCAATCAGCATGCAATCATTATTTCATCATTATTTCATCATCATCATTTCAAGATTTCAAATGTTTTACAAAAACCCTTGCCTCTCTGGTCAATGTAGCAATACCAGTGATACCTAATTATATAGTAACGGCATGTAACGGCATCAACTGAGAGTATCACGGGTCTGAAGAGTTGCTTCAAGTTGTCTGGCAGCTTCTGTCGACCTCCATAGCCTTTGGTTGCAGGGTTCAGGGTGATGAAGATCCCGGCGTTGTGATTCACTTGAACATCGCGTTGCAGCAAATGGACGGTGCTGTGACTGTTCTTGATCGCCGCCTGGAACGAAAATCGGGTGAGAATTCAAAAGTAAACCTCCATACAAGGCCCACAATGTGATAGAGGTCAAAACCATTCCAGATCTGGGTATCCATCATCATCTGTGTTTGTTGGAGCAGTTTCCAGCATTTTGGGAGGCTTCTCAAAAGACTTTTCTAGAGATACAGGGTTTTGGCGGCATTTTGTTGTATCGGGACACCCAAAATACATTGCGTGAAGGGACAGCTGATGCTGTCAAATGACATCATATCATCATATACAATAAATTTAGCCTTTGCTCACTGGCCCTCCTGTGTCCCCGCCTGAATCAGCTGAACAGACTGAGAGATGGCACTCATTTGCTCTTCCAGCAGTCTGTTGAATTCATCAAAGCATCCCCACGCACCACAGCGCACCAAGCCCACAAAAATCCGCCCCATGGCTTGAAAGTCAATACCCTCGTCACAGTTGAAAACTAAGACTTGTCGACCTAAACACGAACCCAGCGCTTTCACAGATTCTGTCTTCCCTGTTCCTGCAGGGCCATAGGGATTTCCTCCATAACCCAGGTGCAAGCCGTGCATCAGAGTCAAATAGCATTTGTCAGTCAAAGGCGTGTGTACCAATTTGGGAGCGTTGCCCTGATATTCGAAGGAGTAGAACTGCTCACATTCCAACATGCGCACACTGCAAGGCCTCTGCTCGGGTGCCACCCCTTGCTTCAGATAGTAGCGCAACTGTCGGAACCAGCTCCAATCTGAAAGCCGTGTGACCTTCTGCACCAACAAGTCGTCAAGTACGGCAATGTTGTGAATCAGGTCCAAGATGAGTGACTTTAACTTGGCTTGAGGCAGGGCTCCATCCAGTGATAGTGAAGTCATTGATGAAAGCTGTGATCTCAGGTCATCTTTCAATTGAAGAAGTTGGCCATTGCTCATGTACCGCTCTACGTTGAAGGTGAAATGAATGTTTGCACTCAAGCACAGAAGCTGTGATGGGTATCGCTCGAATTGCTGCATGTCCATTTCAGACTGAGCGTAGCAACCCTGCAGCTGTGCTGCCAGAGTGGAGAACATCTCATTGGAGAGATTTGACAGCCATTCTTCCACCGGCAAAGGTTCCTCGCCTTCCTTCACCACCACAGGATTCCCCAGAGGTACATTCTCCTTGAGTGAACTGTTCATGGCCACAATACGAGTGATGTTGGGGTCAAAGTCCACAGTGGCAATTCCAGCAAAGAGTTTCTTGAGATGAGCTTGGATGACTTCAGGATTGCTTGATTGACCCAAGATCTCCAACAGGTCTTCGTCCCCAATGAAGTACAAGCGCGGAAATGCGGACCGCTTTTCCTCCAGAAAACTGTTGAGAGCCTTCTGGCAGCGTTCCAACTGGTCCAACATGTTGGTAAACTGATCTTTCAGCCCACGAACTGTGCCTGACTGTGCATTCCAATGGGGGCATAGGGTCACCTCATTCCAAGAGATACTCTGGGGATTTCTTGTGTAGCCATGGATGGCCTACTGTATGCTTTACTGTGTGGCAAAAGATAGCAAGAGATAGAAAAAGTACATTTCAAAAGAAGTGTGGACCCCGAACACTGGAAGGCAACCCTTCCCAGAAACAATGAAACTGCCAAGCAAGTTGTCAAGTTGCACAAGTAGTTCACTTTCTTCTGCGATCCAACATTCTTCATGATCTGGCGGTACTGATTGTTCACCTTGTCGAAACGTTCCTTTTCCCTTGGCAGAGATCCCCTTCCAAAGATCGGCTCCAAATAGACCCATTTTCTCTGAACCTTGTTCATGCACAGCAGCAGCTCGTCCAAAAGCGCCAGCTTCTCCTCAAATTTGTCGACCTGATCTTTGAAAGGTCCGAAGAAGCGAGAGTCCTTCAAGGATCCGCATAGACTTTGCTTTTCAGAAACCTCCGACATCAGGTCTTTCCAATCTTTGATCAACGGCACAAATCCGCCCTTCACCTCAGGATGCAACATGGTGCAACCGCCGCTGAATTTTCAGTTCAATTGCGTCCTATCATGTCCAATCAATTTACAAATGTTCTGCATGTGAAGTCACATCATGTGAAGTGAGAACCAAACCAAACTACCTGCACTACTATTGCAAAACATCCTCAATGAAGAAATAATTCACTGGCTGAAGTACACTGCACATTTCTAAACCTGCCTGGTGATCCATCAGATTGAACTCGGCCTGCTCGAACCATGCGGAGACCTCCATGACAGCATCTCTAATGGTCACTTCTCCAATGGCTCTGGCCGTCAGCTCCTTCAACTCATCAACCTTGTCGACGATGACATTCAGCCGTTGAGCCAAATCCTTGAAGCGTAACTCCTCGAGACGTAAATCTGGAGGTAACTTGATGAGGCCAAACAAAATCTTCCAATGATCTCGCTCGAAAGGCTCTCCAGTCATTGCCTTCAAAGCAGGATGAGCCGCTTCCAAACGCTGAACCTCCTGGGAGAGCATATGGGTCACTTGATCTCTTGGAACTTCACGAAGTTTGGCCATCCAGTTGTGTGCCAAGTCTTGTACTACAAAGAGCCTCGGTCTTAACTCGAGCCAGGTCTGGGCCAACAGCTCTTCGTACTGCTGGTTGAATTCCTCCACCAGGCTCCAACTGGCCTGGCACGGGCGACATGGTAAGGTCGGGGCAGGAAGAACCGGCATGGAGAAGCCCTGAGAAGCTGGATGTTTATTGATGTTTATTGATGTTTGGGGATTAGTTCGGGAAACTAAATAGCATGGTCACATGGTCGGTCTAGAATATTCTAGAATTGCAGTGATCCTTGACAACTCAACAACAACGGCACAGGGTCGGCAACGATAGAGGATGATAGAGGCAGAACCCACTGCCACCGGCCAGATTGGTTATGATCGGTCAGGGCAATAAGGAACTTCCCTTACTGCCAAGGATGCGTTTCTTGCATGAAAGTCCGGACGCAGTGTCGATACTCCAGAACTGCATCGCAAAGCAAACAACCTGCCTGCTGCTTGTTGAGATCATCCTCCACTTCTGCGATTTGGAGTTCGGGTGGTGCCAGGCCAAAATCTGCACAATCTCCTTGCAGCACCACAATTTGCTCCTGCAGAATGCCAGGTTTCATCAAAGCTTTAGGGGCACACAAACATCAACAAATCAGCAGTCGAAAACCGTCTCTGTCATTCCTATTTAATAGTTATAGTATTGATACGCTGGTTGGTTGATAAAGATTCCCACAATATCTCGTAATAATCCGAAATAAACCAGGTAGGATGCCCATCACCCAGGAGTTTGGTAACTGCTCAAATGCCCTTCCCCTTCAACATGCGTGTATTGGGCACTACAGAGCTGTCCTTGAGCCCTTGCCATTCGGTTTGCCACTCTTGCATCTGCTGGGCATTCCTTTTGGCATCTTCCATGGAGAAACTATCCATGCTTTTGGGTTTCAAGGATTGCCACCGTGATGCGAACTTTTCAATATCACTGTTCATGGCTAGTATACGCTGATCCATCTTGCCCTTCAATTCCTCTCGCAAATCATGGGCAAGTTGCTCAAAGGCTTCAAGCCTGATCAAGAAATCATCCCACTTATTCTGGACCTCATTCATATCAATGCCTGCAGCATATGACTTCAACAGCTTGTTCTTCTCATCGGCTGCATCGAGCTGTTTCTTCACTTCATGATGCTGCTCCATGAGTTGCTTGGCATCTTCCTGAGCTTTGCCCAGTTCCTGCACCGTGTCTGGTCGGATGTTCAGCTTCTCAAGACCTTCGTCCAGGAATTGGATCACAGCCTTGGCCTCATCAGATGCCCTGCGTTTCAAAGCAATGATCAAAGCATCACTTAGCCGATCCAAATGATCTTCGATGACTGATTTCAGGATCACGGTGCTGATGGTAAAGCAATCAATCTTCACTGTGTCTGGGATTTTGTCCATGTCCTTCCGTTTGGCTTTGATTGCCTTGAAGTTCATATCCCAGTCTTTGGGATCACTGAGCTCATCGACCAGTTCTTGAACCCTTTCCGGCAAAAGACCCACTACCAGCCAGGGAGCAAAGGAGTTTTGAAGTCGCTGCACCTTCACAAAAAGCTCATCTGCCTTCTGAAATACCACTGCAATGGCCTCAGCATTCCGCTCGGGCATGACTTTGTAGACGTGAGGGGCGCCATCCAAACCTTTGAACTGTAAGGGCAAAGCGATGAAGGTCTTGATTTCTTTGAAGTAAATGGCCTTCAGTTCTTCCAGTGGAGGCTTCATCTTCAACTGCTTTTGAGCCACAATCAAATCTGCTTTCATTTCAGGCAGATTCTCATTGAGGCTTTCCAAGCCGAAGCGATACTGAATCTCCATGATTTTGAAGATCTGATAGTCCCAATGTGATTTCCATGGTTTTGCATCTGCAACTTGACATCCAACGGCACCAATGGTGGCATCGATGTGTTTCTGGATCCCAGAAATCTTCTGCTTCCATTGGTCTCGTTGGCGAAGCAAGCTGATGTTGGCCAGTTGTACCACCTCCTGGGAGACCTGACTGTGACCATTTCGGAGCTTGCGATTCACCTCACGCAAGCGTTCAGCACCATCCTTCACATGACGGGTGAAGGCTTCCAACTGATCCAGCTTGTTCCATTGGACCTTCTTCATACCTTGGCCGATCATGGTGAGATATGGTGGGGGAAGCCACAAGAGCGACAGGAAAATCTGTTCAGTGTTCAGGGACATGAGTGAATGAGGCAAAAAATGATCCGGCATCAAAGAAATCGCAACATATCCCAACATCAGCATTTAAATCCCATCATGCAAGATACCACTCTTGTCATTGAAGAGTTGTTCAAAAGCAAGCGCTGGCTGCAAGACCATCAGTTTCTGCGAGGGAAGCAATTCCGCAGACAAAGTATTGTAGAAATTGCAGACCTGTTGCAGCTGTTGCAGGTGCAGGGCATTTCCACTGTTCAACTCTTTCAACTCTGACTAAACTGAGTAAACATCGATAAAACGTTTGTAACATGGCTCAGTTTTCTCTCACAAAGTGCTCACACGAAACACCGGTCAACTCCCCCTGTCAACTCCCGTTTCCCGCACCTGTTTCAGCTGCACTGCAAAACGGTAAAATTTCATTCCATCCTGCACTGCCATCTTCACTTCCTTGGGAATACTACATCCCAGCTGCTCAAAGAGACGGGCATCTTTCACCAGCTCAATGAGACGCTCCGAATATGTGATCTTCAATGCGCCTTGCTGAGCAGTGTCGAAGTCCATCACACGACTGTTCATTTCAAGAGCGATGGGATCATTTGGATCTCTCAATTGAGAGTCAACCTCCTCGCACCAATCCTTGAAAGCTTTGTTTCGATATTCTTTCAATTCTGCACGCACCTTCCGGTATGTGTTGCCCACCTTGCCAGCAGATGGTAAATCCTTCAGGAATCCCGCTAAGGGCCGAGCTGCTAAGTCAGCCTTGCTTCGAAAGTGTTCAACCCATACCATTTTTCGTGCAGGCAGGCTGAGACCCCGGCCTGCAGGCAAATTATTCACTTCAAAGGTCTCAAGTTCTGACTGCACCCGACCAAGAAAATCATCCAATTCTGTGAGAAGTCGCTCACGTTCATTGGTCAACGACTGCCTGATGTTCTTTCGCTCCAGCAAATCTTGATATCTCTGAAAAACCCGAACTGTCTGTGCTGGGTTGGAGGTGTTGGTGAAAAGCTCTGCTCGCAAACGCTCGGCGACCCGAGCCTCAATCGGAGACATGCGGGCTTCATAATCAGCCAAAGCAGCCCTCCATGCTGGCACCGTGTATTCGTTGTAGCTGAAAGCATTAAGCTTCATGAAAGGCTCGAAGCAGCTCTCGATTTGCATGTCTCTCAGCTCTTCTGCACTAAGCAATTTCAAGATCTGGTCATGCTGACCTCGCAACTGACTCACCTCTTGTATGCGCAAAGCTAAGTGAGTGAGAAAGTCATCCTTGAATGCTTCACCTTCCCATATGTTCTCACTTGATCTCCACTGCACATCTGTGAGGTCAACCGTTATCTCGTTCCATCGCTCGCAGACCTTGTGTCCCTCTCGAATGTGTTTTGAGACCTGCGAAAACGAGGAGGTCCAAACATTCAAGCTGTTGAGCCTGGATTGTACACATCGACCAAAAGAGCCGGAAAGGATTTTCAGAAAATGCAGCATTCTCGCTGGAGGATATGCTGGAGATGCCTCAGACTGCCACAGACTATCAATACTTTCCATGACATTCTCCATGAATTCAAGCAATTGAGCAAAAGTTTTCTTGGACATTTCATCCAATTCTGATGCTATCAGCGACAAGGCTTCGGAAAATTTCGTGGCACGGTCCACTGCTGAATCACTCACTCCGGTGGCATTCTTCAACTCCTCCCAGAATCGAACCTCATCTACCGGTGTGACGATTCCTGGCACCAAATCATGGATGCGGCTTGGGTCCAAACCCACTGACTGTGTTTCTGAAAACCAATAAGTAGGCTACCTGTTGAAGCCTGTGCTATACTCATTATACTCTTAATACCTCTTATACTGTACCTGTGGTAATTACTGTATCTCCCGTTTTGCACCTCAGGGTTCTTCACAAAATGCTTCCCCTTTCTGCTCCCTTGTTGGGATGGGATAGGTTTGGGAAACGCTTCTTGTACTTCTTGTCACTCCCTTGGAGCCTTGCCTGAAACATCATGATCTTCGAAGTCTCCGACATTTCGATTTCGCAGCCCGCGGCGCAAAGACGCGTTCAGGCCCGCATCGAGCTCGGTCAAGCAGTCGGTCAAACGGCCTTCAAGATCCGAGTCTTTGCCACTTTGCACCAAGAGTGGCATAAAGACCTCTCGAACGTTGTAGAACAAACTGCGCACAGGAGACATCCGCAAGGACGAAATTAGAACCAGTCTAGAGATGTTGGTCTCCGTCAATGGCTCATAGGATGTCTTGATGAAGTGCATCTCCGGAATGCCCTCTGCATAGCTGGAAAAACCCAACTGCAGTGTCACTGTTCTTTTTGAGGTGTCACTTGAATCATTTTCTACAGCCTGGAGCACCTTCTCATTTGGATGATCCAGGAATTTCTCCAAGGCTGTATTGGATGTAGTGTTACTGCGGAATTCACTCCGCGGTATGTTCAGGACACTGATGATACATTGAACGACATACTCTTTCCGCGGGTCATTCATGGCTCCGGAGGCCGACTACACAAGAACCTGTCAGGAGCACTTGCTGGATGTGTTGCATGTCTAGAGGGAGAAGAATCTGAAAGTTCCACTTGGCCAGTGTAAAAATGCGGGTTGTCCGTCTATCAGTCGCAAGACTTTGAGAGTAAGTGGTGCCTATTCAACCATCCTTGCATCTGTCTGCAAAGTCAGGCTATCATGAGAAGCTTGGCACACTTTTGGACAATGCCATGAACCTCTGGGAGCATGGTTGTGCACTGCAATTGTCCTTGAGGAAAAGGCAAGGTCAAAGATGGAGAATGCACTTGCACAGATCTTATCTTATTCAACTCCAAATCTGGGTCAACCTTTCCCGAAGTGATGCAGTCATATCTGAGGTGACTTTTGCCAGGAGTGCCAACTTGCACAAAGCTCAAGACTCCTCAGTTCGACGCTTTCAGCAGGTGATGCTTTGTTGAAATCAGACTTCACTCTTGACTTTAAGCTTGGCATGGGCAAACCAGCAAACCAAAAACCTTTTCGTGTGTCGGGTGATCAGGAAATCAAACACGACCAAGAATGAGTTTGATGATGTTTGATGCATTAGTGTCCTGATGTGTCTTGTGAAAAGTGTCTAGTCGTTTCTCCCATGGTTTCGATGATTTCAGTATTTTCAGTATCTGCGTAGTCGATCTCGGTTGGATCCCCATTCAGGACAGTGCCGCTCGATCTTTGCGCCGTTTCTTTCCCTGGGGGGACTCCTTCACTGGAATTGCATCCCAAGGCGGCCTTCATCCGCCCAAACACACCCAACTGCACGTGGCACTGTATCTGCATTTGAACTCATTTGGGCAAGGTTGAAACCAGTCTAAGCTCTCCCCTCTCAAGGTCTGCCCAAAACCTTACAGTATCCTGCCAAATCCACTGCTAATAGTAGCGCAGATCATCCTCTTCATGGATGTAAATGGCCCAAAAAATGGGAACATGTCCTTATTTCCAGAAACCAGTGTGAAACGTCGTTTAGCGTCCTGTTTTCTCCGCTTAAGATCTGCATTGAGGAGCTTCTCTTTGGCCTTGCGACAAGTGAAAATAAACTGGAGATGGGAGTTATACTGCAAGTTTCCACAACAATGACGCAGAAATTCACATGTCATTCTTTAATTGTTTATTTATATATGCAAATATAATATCATATATTGCATTCATACCAGTAGTGCCGCACAAGGCGGTGGCGGAAGTTTCAAAAATAGGAAACCGATAGGAGAGGTTCGTTGTTGTGAATCACGGATGGCAGAGCGAATCCACTGATGGACCGAAAGGTGGTTGGACTTGTGTTTTCTGGAGTCACCTCACCACAACTGCTGTATATAATGTGGTGTAGTTGTAGCTGTAGTGTAGTGTAGTGGAGTTGTAGTTGTGGTGTAATGTAATTAGTGTAGTGTAGTTGCAGTTGCAGTTGTAGCTGTGGTGTGGTGTAATTAGTGTAGTGTAGCGTAGGGTACTGTAATGTTGTGTACTGTAGTGTGGTATAGTGAAGTGCACTCATGATCGCCATATCGTCTGGGCCAGCGGCGGCTCAGCGGATCAGCGGATCAGCGGATCAGCGGACCAGCGGACCAGCGGATCAGCGGATCAGCGCATCAGCGGACCAGCGGACCAGCGGATCAGCGGATCAGAGGATCAGCGGACCAGCGGACCAGCGGACCAGCGGATCAGCGGATCAGCGGATCAGCGGATCAGCGGACCAGCGGATCAGCGGATCAGCGGATCAGCGGACCAGCGGACCAGCGGATCAGCGGATCAGCGGATCAGCGGATCAGCGGATCAGCGGACCAGCGGATCAGCGATCAGCGGATCAGCGGATCAGCGGATCAGCGGACCAGCGGACCAGCGGACCAGCGGATCAGCGGACCAGCGGATCAGTGGATCAGCGGATCAGCGCACCAGCGGATCAGCGGATCAAAGCAAAGTTCTAGAACGTACTTTTCAACCTGTCTATATCTACAAAGGCAATCTTGCTCAGTGACCTTTGCCTGCCAGGAAAAGGTCTCTCCTGCAAGCACCTTCTGTACAAGTAGCATGCCTTCCGCTTTCACAAGGCTGCCGCCCCTGCTCCGGGTTTTGTGGTGTCAGTGGTGGTTTTGCAGCTTGATTTCTGACACTTGCACCACGTGACATGACCAGCGATCACGGACGTACTTTTCAACATGTATATATCGGCAATCTTGCTCAGTGACCTTTGCCTGCCATGAAAAGGTGTCTCCTGCAAGCACCTTCTGTACACGTAGAATGCCTTCCGCTTTGACAAGGCCGCCGCCCCTGCTCCGGGTTTTGTGGTGTCAGTGGTGGTTTTGCAGCTTGATTTCTGACACTTGCACCACGTGACATGACCAGTGATCACGGAAAGAGTTCGCAGCTTGTGCCCCTGCTGTGCCTTTATTTTCAAACAGGAGAGAGAACCATGACCATGCGCAAACGTATCACACTAAGACAGTCCATACATTTCGCCGCAAGGCTGAGAAGAGCAACCAGAAACAAACCACGCAACTGCAGAGCCCAAGACCTTCTCTCCCGCCTGCGACTCTTCCTTTTCATGGCGCACGGGTTTAGCCAAGCTCTGATTGCTGAAGCCATACGAAATGCAGACCCGGCTGCGCAGATTTCAGATGGTTTGGTTGTGCATCTGGCAGCTGAGCTGCAACCTCTCTTCTCGACCAGAGTTGCTGCCTACGGTAGAGAAACTTGTGCCCAAGAGTTGCTCCCCTTGCCTCGGAGCTGTTCTGCGTGCAAAACCCGGCTAGCTGAATGCAGAGGTTCTGCCACGCCTGCGGCAGTGATAGACCTTTGTGGAGTCGTTGAAAAGCTGCATGTTCCACTGCGGTGTAGAAAGCCTTCATGCCCGGAGTTTGGGGTGCTTCTTTGGTACAACTACTGCGTACGCAAAGGCAAGCATGTGTTCCAGGGAGAGCTGCCACTCTTGCAATGTTTCATGCTATCCTCGAGCTTTGGTTTTAGTATCCCTTGGCTGCGCCAGTTCCACCCGCGTTTGGTGCGTCAGCACGCATCATTCACGAGTGAAGCCGACGTACTGACGGCGCAAGCTGCCACCAATTCGCAGCTGCATCGTCTCCCCACTTCACGCTTGCGGCTGCTGATCAGCCAGGGATGGTTCACCTGGCGCTTGCTGACGCGTGGGCTTGAAGCCGGCTTGGATTTGTCTGTGGTAGATTTTCAATCTCCCATGGAGGACACGGCGTGCAGGTTCTTGGGTCCATTGCAAGCAGCATTCAGCCGGAAGGCCGTGGAAGGTGCTCAGCGTGCCAAAATGCGGTGCGATGTTATTGTTTTAGATGGCAATGCAAAGAACCGGAGGGCAGTCTGCGCCGCTGCGCTGGCGGGATGTTCTTACTCTCCAACCCTCCGCAGAACTTTGCGCCACACCTGCACAAAAACGCCTGCTTTCAAGCATTGCTTTTGCTTGCACCATTGTGAAGCTCCTGGCGCAGATCGTTCTCACACAGTGTCTTGGCTCGAATCCTCAAACATTTTCAGTTTTGTTTGCCTTCTCCTTCCGTGGGCTACTTTTTTGAATTAAAACCCCAGGGCTTCAGCGTCGGTGCTTGGGTCTGTGCTCGCGTTTGCAGGATGTTGAGATTCTACAACACAAGTCTATCAATGATGGGCAGCAACTGATGGTTTTGCTCCAGGAAACGACCGAACCTCGCAGGGAGGCTTGGGTCTTGGATTCCGCCGTGCCAGACACTGTCTTGAGCAAGTACTTGCGGCAAGTTGGGGCGGAGAAGCTGAAACTTCGCAAGCGTACTCATGAACCCCAACCTTCAGACACTGCAGGGCCTTCTCCCGCACCGCCGCTGTTGCAGGCGCAGGTTGAACCCGTGGCAGAGCTTGAGCAATGTTCAGATCCAGCGGATTTAGCGTCTGTTGCATGTTCAACGCACAAGGAAAGCAGTACTGCCCAGAGGCAACTTGCCAAGTCAGCGGGCATGCTTTGCGTATGCTTGTCCGAGGGCCTTATTTTGCACATGCAAGAGATTTATGGCTGCGAGTCTCTGAGCCAGCGCTACTTCTGCGTCGCTGCTGTCAAAGCTTTGCTGCCGACCGTGACGACAGTGGTGCACGATGATGCGTGCCACTTGCACAAGTATTGCGCGCGTCGAGCAGCGCACTCTCAAGCTGCGGCGCAGTTGTCGCCACCTCACATGACCTTTGTCTGCGACAAGTTCCACATGGCAGGCCACACGGATGCTTGGTGCAAGCAAACATGTGACCCGGAGCTCCCGTCCAACTCCGCTCTTCAACCAAGCACATGAACGAATACGGTTTTCAGTTCTTCTTGCTCGACATGGCGTGGAGCCACAATGAAATCATTTTGCAGGGAGGCTACAGGCCGGAGGAGGTAGCTGGCTCTTTGGATGCTGAGGATGTTGCGTAGCAAGCCAAAAATGTTCGGACGCTTAGGGTTTGAAGTTTGGGAGCGCCATAGGTACGTAGCTCTTTTTTCGAACGGGCTGTGGTGCTTGTAACATGTGACCATCTTTTGCTAGATCAGGTTGATTTTAGAATTGTGGTGCGGCTTTAGGTAGCCTGGTTCAAATTTGGTAGTTCGCAGCTTCTCGTGCGGAGCCATGTCCGGGGCTCCTGACGATGGGCAGTACGTGCCCGCCATGAAGCTGATGTGGGATGAGGTGGACAGACGTTTTGACCCCAAGTATGTCCTTGGAGAAGCCGGCCACCAGTTTTGCCAAAGCTATTCTGTCAGAGCTGCGCATCCTGAATTTCCTTACGCTTTGCATTGTCTTTCTTTGATGTGTGCTTTGGCGAATGGCGCGCGGGTCGCCATCTTTGCCACAGCACCGTCGCCTCTGACTTTGGTAGCGGTCAATGTCAACTATGCCCAGACCAGAAAGTCTTCCATGACTGGACACGCAGAAGCTTTGGGGCAAGAGTTGGACACAGTCATCTTGGAGAATGCGATGTCCAAGCTGCAGCAGGAAAGCTTTGAGGAGGGAGCGGCTCAAGTCCTGAGGCGGGGCTTTTCAAAGTCCAATTGCCCCCCGCTGACCATGCGTGAACAGTTTCCTAACCTTGTGTTAAATTTTCACGTGTTTCTAAATCTTTGCCAGGAACCAAAAGACACAAGTGACCCCGCTGCTGCAGGTATTTGAAGCCAAGAATCGCTTCTGCGACTGTTGCCAGCGCCACACCGGAAGAATGGTTTCACCGTTGCTCTGCTGACTGGAACCAAGTCCGCAACGCAGACAAGCTGCCAGGAGATTGGTCTGGGCGTTGCTGGTACGGCTTGCTAGGCAACTTTGATGAAGCCTACGACTTCTTGCTGAGCCTTGGCCTGTTGTCCGACTCAAATGCAACAACGAGAGAGAAATCAAAAAGCAAAGTCAACCCGTACCAGAGCGCGTTCAACAAGCTCTTGCAATTTGGGTCTAGTGCTCGTGCCACCAAGACGGCAGGGAGCTACGGTGAGAACCCTGGTAAAACCATAAGCTTGGGCATCACTTGCAACATGCACCCGGCCTTCTACATCCCAATGGAGCGGGGCGAGCTTGGAAGCCACGCAGCCTCCACCAAGGAAAGGTTCCTCATCTCCACTGGCCGCCCTGTTCAACCACATGAGGACATCCCCGCAGACTTTTGCTTGCCGGAAGGAAGGGGTCGATTCTTGCACTGTTACATGCTGGATATAGCGCTCACTTCTCGGTATTAAGGCATGTAAAGCACAAACACTGTCATGAGCCTGTCAGTCTTTGTGGATTTTCTGAGTTGAGACGCGTGCAGGAGTCTCGCCATACAGGTGGGTCCCCCTCACTCCTGAGATTGCAGACCTCATTGGGGTTGCTAAAGAAGCAACATCGCCAGACGCAGCTGCCCAAGAATGGGCAGAAGCTGGGCTTGAAGACGAAGCCGCGGCCCAACTCACCCAAAATGCTGCCGGTGAGTATGTGCCGTCGGAAGACGGCTACCTTGTCAGGCTCTTAGATGACAAGCTGACCCGCATCCGCTTCAGGCGATCAGAGGCAGCCCCAAACGGCTTTGA